TCATGCAAACACCTGAGTATGACTTTGAGGTTGCAAGAGATGGAGAAGTAGGCACCAGTTAGCCTGTCAGAGGCACTGGTCAAATACAGCAGTAGGTACCATTCTTCACATATTTATTTTCCTTTGAGGGAGGTATTTTTTGGTAAATTTGGATGTAAAGGAAGGATTTGTCTCCCCTTGGCTTGGGTCATTTCACAGTGTTATAGGCTGTAAAGGCATCTGTTCAATGCCAGAGGAGAACGAACGGGACTTTTTCCTTTCCATGGCAGAACAAGACTTTAATGGTCTGGTGGTAGTAATTCTGTATTGCAAAGGAAGTTGATAAAATAGAACATAAACTTCTCTAATAGAGGATTTAATTACCAGGAAAGCCAGGTTGAATGAAGCATTTGAGCAGAACTATTTCATTGCTGAAAAGACGATGATTATTAATCCCCTTTCTCCAAGGCCACGTCATTTATTCAGGAGGACCTGGAGTACTAAGAAACCACATATATCTATGGGTGTGCATTTGATTGTATGTCTTTGTGTTGTTTGGGTTTTTTTTTCCTGTTTGCATCCAAACAGACTGTCACTACTCTTTAAAAAGTCTCAGATTTTCTCTGACTTTACTCAGATTTCCAGCTAAACTCGTGTATCCACATGATCAAGCTGAAACCAGCCAAAGTAATCAAGGGGCTGGACAGTAGGCACAATGGTAATGAATCAAAAAGCTTAAAAAGCTCTTAAATTGCCATTTCATTCTTCAACACACGAGCATGGCTATCAAGTTTTAACTGCAGTGGAAGGATTTATTTGTTTTATCTTGGAAACAGACGCTTCTCTGAAACCCTCTATTAGTCAATATATCATCTTGTTCATGTTTTATGCTTTTGCTTTTCCAATATACAGTTGGAAAAGAAATAAATGTGCCTGATCACACCGGGGTGAACACCTGTAAAGTTCTAAATGCGGTTCTGGTATTTAGCCTTTAAACTTAATGAGATTAAACACGGAATCCATCCATACAATTCACCCTAATGACTGCTTTGTGGTTGTTTTCAGCAGACAAATTGTGTCACAGTGTGTGCCATGGTCAGGCAGTAGCAGCTACTTTTGGAAGAGAAATCAGGCTGGGAGCCTTCTGCTGTGCTCCCAGCCATGGGCATACTGCCCAGGAGTGGGCTGAGGGACTGCCAGGCTGTGTGAAGCCCCCCCAGAGACGTCCTCACCTCCACCTTTTGCCCTTCATGGCCAAAGCTGATCTCAGCACGTCCCCTCCATAGCCCCTCTGCAAAGAGAGCTGATGCTGTGCGAGGCTTTTGCCAAGTGAAGAATTCGGGTGTTCACATTTTTTAACACAAAAATAATAAGCTCATCATCTTGAGGGTGGATAATGCCACAAGCTGCCTTTCCACTGGTGTTGCTTCTCTTCTGTCTCTTTAAGACAGTGTTATACTGCTGTGACCATTTCTACTGGTAGGAAGGCTGTGGTAAGGATGAGACTATGGGTGGGGTTTACTTTACATATATACAATTAAAGCAGTAAAACTGATTTGTGCAAATACACTTTGAGATTGACAAATACTGAGAATCTGTGGCTTTTTTTGCTCAAGGCAAAAATCCACCATGGCTGACGGAATCAGGTCAGCCCACAGTTACTTTTTTTCCACGCAAACAACTTCACTCTGTCAATGCTTTCTTCTCCCTCCTCCTTATCCTGCCCAAACGCCTAATGACATAGATCCAAGCTAAGGAAATACAACTGCAGCAAAGTCTTCACTTGAAAATAAAGCTAAGTATAGCCCCTGCTGGGGAATGAAACCCATGGGATGGTCTGTGAGGGTCCGGCACCAACTTCTTCAATGAGAGCAAGCAAGGAACTGTGGGGCCAGTGAGCTGGTGGGGCTCCCTGAGATCTGCTGGTGTTCATTTCATTTTGGAACCAAATCTTCACAAGGAGAGGGATGGGGAAATCTCTTTTTGGACAATTTTCACTGTTAGTATATTCATATTTTGACAGTGAGTGCTGCTGAAAGGCTTGGGATGCTTTGGTAGCACCAATGACCTCTATAAGGACTGGCCAAGGGAAATCATCTCAAGACATCAGGTGATGCTCATACAACAATGTTAAACCTTTGTGGGGATGGTGCGGTTTGGGTTCAGTGTAACATTAGCCTGCTGTAGCTGAATACTGATTGTTCAAAGCAAGAGTAATCCAAGACCACTCCATCAATGAAGCAGAAATCTGCAGAGAGGTACTGACCTTTTCTTCATCACTTCAGTTTTCTTAAGCAGCTTTGTACACCAAGTCCCGTGTAGTGTGAGTTTGCAAAAATGTATTTAATTTTTATTAAGAAAGATCTTTGAGAGTAACCTGGAAGAATTAAATTAGAGATGTACCCAGTTCACTCTTCTTCCAGGATAACACTACGTCCCTTTATGGCTTCATCTACATAAGCAGGCAGATCCCTCTCTCTGTCATACAGGTGTGTCATTCCCACAATACATCAAATCCAAACTGAATAAGAACATGACTGTAGATCTACAGTAGGTGTGTGCTAAAGTACATACTAGCACTCTGGAGCACGTTCCAATTGATTGCTAAATCATAGGGAAAAATGGTCAACAAACAATGAAAGAACAATTTTACTTGGTATTTTATTCACTTAACAGAAACATTCACTTATCAGGTATCACTGAAGTGCAATTTACAGAACTTAGCAGCAAATTCACATATGTAAATTCAGATTTATTTTCTTTTGTTGTCTTTTGTCTTTCTTTTTCTTTTTTTTTTACAAATATTACAAATGTACATCCATTAGTACAGTATTGCCATTCACTCATGCGTGTTATGTACAGAATCTTCACTGCAGAATTACTACTGAGCATTTTTTCCTTTGCTTCAGGAAATGCTGCATGTAGGTCATGTGTGCTTCTGGGATGAGGTCCCATCACACTGTTGCTGCACATAAGGAGAAGAAACAGACATTTAAGGTCGTATTCAACCCTGGTGCACGCAGGTGCAACTCCACTGCCTTCAATGAGATGAACTGATGCCCACTTGCAGGGGGGACTTGGTTTGGTCCCCAGTATTAAATTCATTCTGGCAGCTGAATCCAGGGTTGCATTTATGTATTTCTTGCAACAAAGGTTAATTCAGTCCCATCGCACTTTTCTTTATGTCCTTAAAAATAACCAGGCATGGTGCTTTGTTGTCACAGTAGCTGCAACACCAGCCTGTGGAATCATATGCATTAATTCAGTTGACGTCATGCCACAGCTGGAGGAGAATGGATGAGGGCAGGGAGATGTAAGGAAGAGCCATTGAGGTCTCTTGTGTGCTAGATAAGGATGAATCTGCAGAGGAAAAGCAGAAGATGTGCTTCCTCCTGCCCTGTGGATCTCTGCATGAGAAACCTTGTCCTCCTCTCTGGTTGCGCTGTGGTTTCTCTCCAGAGAACAGAACCCCTGGAACCACCACTGCCAATGTCACCGGCAGCTTGTCCCACACCTCCAGTCATTGGCCTGGCCCCCCACCTGCCCACGGCCCCTCTGGTGCCCAGATCACACTGGAGGTCTGCACCAGTGACAGCTTTGTTAGAGGACAGGACCATGTAGAGGTACCTGGAAGCTCCAGAAGGTGCCAAAAATATTCTGAATGTTCATCAGCAGAGCTGACAAAGTGGTCAAAGTATTGAGAAAGCGATTACTGCAAGGTGTTTCCATTATTGAAACATCTCAGGTTTTTGGTTGATTTTTTTCTTTTTTTCTTTTTTTCTTTTTTTCTTTTTAAACTATTTCTACTCTAAGGATACTTTTTTAAATATTTTTGGTAGTTAATATGGAATGTATTATTTTGTTGAAAAGGTTTCTAGAAGGGGAGAGCTTTGTTTTATCTAATTTAAAAATTCTAGTTTATCACAATTGTTTTTATACAAGACACTATAGATACATCTTGTAGTTTATAATCTAAAAATAAAATCTCATCAAAATACTGTAGCTATTCTATTGTGGGCATCAATAAACAATGTATTTACTGTATATGGCTCTCCAAACATGATAAACCCTATACAAAGAGCATCTATCTTTATTGATAGGAACAGTTTCCCGTGTAAAGGAAATTACATGGAAAAATATGAGCCTTGTGTTGTTTGAGAAGTAACTCAGCTTGACAGTTCTGAGAAAATACCAAGACAATTATCACAAATCAGTAGCAGCATGTTATATACAGATTTAAAGAGAATCACAGGAATAAAAAGAAAACTGTAGTCATATACCCGCAAATCCTGTCATCTAAAAACCCAAAAACTTAGAGAAATGTACAGGGCATTTGAAAGTTGGTTTTGCAATGGGACTATCAAAGCTCAGTTCTCTCATGACTGTATCTTCTGCATGCTGATGAAATTTGGGATGGTTCAAAGATGAGATTGTATCAGACCCAGCCACAGTTATGAAAAAAATATTTAACTGTTGGGGTATACTTGTCTCCTAAGTGAAAAACTCCATCTGCTTTTCAGGCTGCAGATGAACATGAATAATAATAATAACACTTGGCATTTACAAAGAGCTGGAATCTGAAAGCTCATGCATTGAGTAAGACCTTACCCAAGCCTGTAGTTGCATCTGCTGTGCTTATGTCAATTGGACTGTATGGGGAGGTAAAACTCACTGCAAAAGTGACAGAATCTGGCTTACACTGTTGCATATGACCAGGCATTTTGATCCTGCCAAATTCCTTAGACATGAAGTATTTAAGCAGTATTATCCCCATTTGACAGGTGGAGAAACTGAGGCAGGAAAGAGCCAAGTATCAAATGTGCTCTCTTGTTTGGGGATGTCTTAGTTGTGGGTACCCAACCCAGTGATTGTTCAGATGCATGGAGCATCCTGAGCTCACATCCACTTAATTCAGAGCTGTGGATCATCAGAAGCTTGCAAATGTGAAGCTCTGGGTCCTGACTATAGCCTGCCTGATTTTAGGCAGCTACCTGAAGATCCAGAGCCAGCAGCATCTGGTCTTCAGGCAGCGCAGGGTTGAATTGCCCTCTTGACAAGGATCTGCATCCTGGCTGGTGTCTAAAGGGCATGTGTGATGAACTGAGCCTGGAAAAGTAAAATTTGCAGCATGCAGAGGCTTGTGACCAGAGTTGAAGATTTGGTGGGAAGTGGTTGTCCAAGGCGTCAGAGGGAATATGTGTAAAAACCAAGGGCATCCTGACGCCTGGCTTTGTGCTCAGAGCCAGCAGTGGAAAATGGAATTTAAAAGTGCTCATTATCTTTGAGGTCCAAATTCTTTATCACAGATTTAGGCAGCTAACAGAAAGATTTTTGCATAGAGGTTAAACACCTTTTATTGTGAATGATTATTGGGTGCTCTGAGAGCTGCTGCCATGCTGTGTGCCCGGGGTACTTCCATCTCTGCTCATTATTTTCCATTATTCACTGATGACTCTTGCACTGATTGTGTGAGGGAAAACAAACTCTGTTTTTGATCAGATCCACTAACACCTCAAATCAGTAATAACCAATAAACAATGAAAAGCGGAATCTTGGTGGGGATGGCATTGTAATTTGGGCAGGTACGTTCTTGGGAAGGGATCATGAAAAATCAGTTTTCTAAGGTTGAGTTCAGTGCATCAGACACCTTTCTACTTATGTATTTCCAATACAGAATTAAAAGCAAATATTCCAATGGAGGTTGCTATTAAATCTCAGACTGCTTCAATTCTCTCTGCTCATGCGTCCTGCCTCGCCTTCTCTCCAGCTGATTTGATTCAGTCGTGTAGCAAAGATGCCGAGTGGTTTACACAGTTAGTAGGAACTGATCTTGCTCTGGGGGTTTCTTCACCCAGGTGCCCAGACCGGCTTTCTGAAATGCTTTAAACAGCTGCTGCTTAACAGACTGGTACGTCTGAGCCACCAGCTTTGCCTCGCTGTACACTGATGGCATGTCTCCATGGCTTAGTACTCGTGTGCTCAGCTGCAGAACAAAAATCAGGAAAGGGGAAAAAAAATGAAATAATAATAAAAAAACCAACCAACGAGCCAAAAGAAACAGGAGGCTTCAATAGCTGTATAATCTTCTTACATTTCATAAGCAGAAAACAAACTATCACTGTGCTTTGTGTGTTTGCTTTTAGTTTAACAGCCAAAAAAACAGGGGAGCAATAAATGCCGATGGCATGGTTTTGAGCCATTGCAAGGAGCAAAGGGGTGAACAGCTTTGCCTTGGATTGGGCATAGGTAGTAGCAAATCTTGGTGTGTTCTACAAAGGCAGGATGCTATTTCTCAGCTAAGATGAATTTTAGGGACAAAAAGGAAAAAAATCCTTTCTGGAGATCTTTGAAGAATGTGCTCAGTTTAGCCAGGGAAGCAGAGCAGCTCAGTGCTTCCAAGTAATGCCAAGAGACAGAAGACCTTCCACACTCTACCATTTCACCTTTGTAACCTGTTATTGGTGGAAATGCCGTGAAACATGCCCTGGACAGGGCAGAAATCAGGCATCAGGTTTTGTGCTGGTGCAGGAAATCCAAGTGTTCTGTTCGAGCACTGGAGTGACCCACCAGGAGAGATACCTCAGACCAAACCAGTGTCCAGTTCTCTTTGCTCCCCAGAGGTGGACAATGATGACATTATCAAACATTGTTTTGTCAAGAGCAAAGTGCCCCGTTCAGCCACAAGTTCAGCCACCTGTGAGCCTCCTGCTCACCCCGACCTCATCCCTGGTGTGAGCCAGATGCAGTCCAGCTCTCTCGGCCATGGTTCCAGCCGTGGCCCTGATTTTGTTCCTGTGAGGATCACTCCATTCTGGGGGTGGCAGGAGTGCTCCTCGCCCTGCTTTCCATCTTCTCTGCAGGAAATAGGCTGGGACCTGTGTCACTGAACTGTGACTGAGCCCTGGGCACAAAGCCCAGGTCAGTCTCTTCTGTTTACCTCAAGGCTCAGAGTCCCTGCTAGGACAGACCATGCCATCAGCCTCCCTCCCTAGGGATCTCCTGCAGAGCAGAACAACACTTTGGGCTTGTCATCAAACCTTGCCACCCTGCAGGTTCATTTTCCTTCCTTAATGACTTCACCGATGGGAGTGTCTCCACACTTCCATACCATTGCTCTGTCTTGTGTGTTTCCACTCATTTCCCACTAGGAAAGAGGTTTTGGCACTTAATAAAATAATATTTTCTTGTCTTCACCTTCTCTCACTCCACATGGACTGCAGGACAATTATTGACAAGCCTCTTAGTGCATCAGACCTACCTTGCCATGAAGCTTTGCCCAGCGAGTGAAGAACATGTGCTTGCAGAGCCGTGAGGGACTCCCACAGGTCCTCTTCCCTGTCGTGGCATTGATAACCTCCAGGTCGGTGTTCCCCACAATCCAGTTCACGCTGAAGCTGGGAGATTTTCCGGGCTGCCGGGCGTCAGCATGGCTAATCCCTGAAGGAGAGAAGGACACCAGTAACCTCCAGGGTTCAAAGCACTCAGAGGGTGCTAACATGTGGCGGGTTGTTGTGGCACATGGGACATCCTTGAGTGAACCTGCTGGCATCGTGGACTGCACGTGCTCTTGTCACCGTTGGTTAAACATTACCAGACCAACTGCCTTGCAGAGACATAATTTAGCAATTCCTATAGATTTTTTCCACCTTGCAGGCAAACCTTTCATTAGCCTAAGGAAAGCCTTTGGATTGTAGTGTGAGCTGTTGACAGCAGTGTGACAGTTGCTGAGTGAAATCTTTCAGAAAGGCTTTAATGGGATAACAGCTTTTTAAAAGGAACTAAGCAGTAAAGTGCTTTTGCCATATGTCCCTTCAGGTGAGCTTTCCACAGTATGCTGGCATATTTATCTGCTATGAGCTCCTAGGGCCTTTGTTGTGATGGGATGTCGAGATCACAGGGGATATATACAGGGAATAAGAAAATACAAAACATACACTTCCTCATCACAGAGAGATTATTAGACCTGAGTTAATAATTACCTTGTAGACATCACAGACTTACACAGAATAGTTTTGATCCCAGCCCTGTGTCTGCCTGTAAGATTCTTACCCCGTATGGGAGCATCAGCTCTTCAAGAATTAGTTAGTATCCTAACAGTGATATTTTGGACATCTTTAGGTGGAATGAATCTTATTTAATTTTAGACAGCTGCAGTGATGAGGTTTACAGTCACCTGAAGTGATTGCATGACCTTAGTGTCATTCACATGGACAGTTTTGGACATCTGAGCTACATACTAAACCACTGCCTTCATGGGTGAGATCTCCCCTGGCTCTAAATGCAGACCAGGGCTACAAGGTCAGGAGTGGGTGTGTACATGAGTTATTTTTAATCAGGTAAACTCCTGTCTCTTTTAAACCATTTAGTGTAGCTCATGAATCCTATTGCTTTCTCCTTTCTTGTACCTGAAACAAGGGAATGATTAGCCTTTGCAAGAAAATAAGAGGAATAAAGGAACTGGTTGGTTTATTTTCCAGCACAGGATAAATGCAAGCAAGTGAGCTCTGCCTTGCCCTGCTCATTAGTGCTTTTGGAGTAAAGAATCAACACTCAGAGCTTCCAAGGCTGGAAAAAACAGAGTGACCTGAAGCAGTTTGAATATTTTTGAAAACATGGGCATTGGATCATGTGTCTGGATCCAGCTGTTGTGTCTCTCTCTGCTAATTTGCTGTATGGGCCACTAGCCTGCAAACCTGGAAAACAAAAGCCAGTGTGGTGAGCAGGCAGGTGGGGACTGTGCTGGTAGGCAGGAGCTGCCTGGCACAGCCACGCTGGCACAGGACAGTGCCAGGGCTGGGTCTCTATTTCCAAATGGCAGTTCCTGCTGAAGCCCCTGCCTGCAGCAGCTCCAGCGGCAGCTCATGGTTTGCACAGCTTGGTGGGACCTGCTTTCACTGCTCCTGGGTGCAGGGAAGCAGAGAAAGGTCCTTTGCATTTTCTACTGAGAGAGTTACAAAGAACTTTTGCAGAGGGCAAGAAGTGCTGATATGAGCTGTTCAGAGAGAAGGAGATTAAAGAAAAGACATCAAAACCCCTCCTTTCCAAAGTGCCCCTTCTCACTCAGGGATGTCATTTTCAAAACAGATTCACACCATGAGCATGTGCTGGTCTCAGGCAGAATGGGAGGAGATGGGAGCTGGTGGGAATGCAGCACCTGTTGCTGTGCTGAATGTGTTGAGCTTGGTAAGCCGCTGAGAGATACCACAAGAGAAGCAGAAGGCTGTGCAGGGTCTGTGGTGACCGGGACGCTGCTTCTGCAGGCAGCCCCTGTGTCTCACTGGGCCCCCTCTGCATCATGGGAAGCAATGGCAGTGAGGGACATGCTCACTCTCTCCCCGGTCATCTCTGCTCTGAGAGGGAGTTGCAAGAGCCAGATGGTACTCAGCACACAAAGAGACAGAAAGGTGGCCACTGAAGGAAAAAATTATATGGCGCAAGCACTTTTTACTTTGTACTGGTGACAAAGCTGGAACAGCAGAAATCATCTCAGTCACTGGGACTGAACTCACTATCGTGTGTAGAAGAGAATTACAGCTAAGTCATAACCTCACCCAGGATTTGTAAACACATTCATGTCGTATTAATACCTCTTTCAATTTTTCCCCCCTGAGATAACAGATCAGTCTGCATCTAAAACTCCAGTTCACCTAGGCAACAGGATTTAAACTGAGAGCTTGAAAATCAGATAGCTGTGTGGCGCTTGAAGAGTGCCTCTACACAGAATGATATGCAAACAGACCAAAATCAGCTGTTTGACACTATGCATCACTCTCTGTCAAGATAGCACCCAAAAGCTTAGAGCATTTGAGTGCCAAAAAACATGATGGCAAACACTCTGCCATGAAAAATTGCCACAGGCCACTAAACACATAAAAATGTTGTGAAAGCAGTGGCCAGAAGGAAAGGCTGCACGGAAGGCAGAGCAGGTTGTGGGTGCCCATCAGATGGGGGCTGTGCACTCCTGCCCAGCCTAGGACCTCCCTCTGGTCTTGGACTGTGAGAGTAGTCCAGTCTTGAACCAGTGCCTGGAAAACCCTCTGGGCTGGTTTGGCTTTCATGCTTTCTCTTCCCACCTATCATGTATAAGTATACGTATTTAGGTAAGTAGAAGATATTTTCATATCATTTTCCAAATGCAAGAGAAGATATTTTAAAGAAAAAACCCATGAAACTCATGACAGACACAAATATAGAGCCTAGATATATTCTCTGTTGGTTTTTTTATCGTTTTTAAACACTTCTTCCAGATTTTCCTTTTGATTCAATTGTTCTAATTTTATTTGGAAAGTAACACCCAAATAACCTAGATGATTTTATCTCCTTTATGTAAAACATCCTCCTTAAAATCCTCATGACAGACTACAATAGAAGGCCATAGAAACTGGAAGGAAAAGAAACATCTTTGCACAAATAATATGAATTTGAGTACTGTGGGACAGGAACTAAAATCTGTCCTCATTGTCCTCTCTCTCCCAGCAAAACCTTGTGCCTCTTCAGGATACCCTTTAGAACAGTCTGAATCTCAAGAGAAGGGGATATAAAAAATACCCAGGGCTTTTCTTCTTCTAAAAATTACGCCCAAGAGTAATCTCAGTGAATGAGTGGAGTTCCATCTAGCTGGGACTGGTGTGAGTGGAAAACCTCACTGATTATTTTTCAGTGGAGCCAAGGAGTTAATCTCAGGATATCTAATCACACGCCATGCCTCTCCTCTCCATTGAAATGTTTGTACCGCTATGATCAAGTGACAAAATAATTGACACCCCTATAATTTAAGGACTCCTGCAATCCTTGACTGGCCTGATCTCCGAGACAAGTATGGGAGGTGGAGTTGCCTGGCTGAGATTGTGGAGGTCTGGTTTCTAATGCATTCAGCATGGCTTTTGCTCAATGCCCATCTCCTTAGTCACTGGATATGCTGTCAGCACAGTTTCCCAGGAAAAAGAACTGCAGCATAAGCCTCAGCAATGTAAGTTTTAATCAGCATTGGCTCCCTGGGATTTGTGGGGGAGGGAAGATTACAAATAATGGCTTTAGAGACAAAACCAGTGCAGACAGATAGAGAGAGAGATTCCTCCCACTGCTCCTGAGCTGGGGAAAACTCACAAACACAACCAAAAGCAAAGCAAATCCTTTTCCAGACAGAAGTCTCTCGGAAGGAGGAAGACAGCCCTGAAACATGCAGATGTTTGAAGCGGCACAAGGGCCCCTCTGATGCATTTCGAATTGCCTTGAAAACTCTGGCAACAACTCTTGGCATACATACACACTTGGGCCAAGTATTACCCACTGCTTTTACTCTGCAAGGCCAGCCCTGCAAAGAAATAGCTGTTGTGTGGTGAAATCTCTTATAAAATCCTCTACTGTGTTTTCAGCCCTCCCACAGTTCAAGTGGGTTTCCCTGTACATCCTGCAGACACAGTGGTAGTGTGTGTGCCTTTGATCTTAATGTATGGGAGCACTTATAACGAGTTAGGGCTGGCACAGGACGAGATCCGCTTTCCCAGTGCAAGATGCAGAGGCTTCTGGCAGCCAGGGCTGCATTGTCAAAATAACAGTCAGGTTTGGGAAATGGGGAGATATTTCCTGACCAGCTGTGAGTCCTTTCCTCCCTGCCACGATGTTACATGGGAAGGAAGAGGGGGCTGGGTCATGTCCATGCTGGAACAGGGTAGGTGGGACAGGTAGGGATATAGACTGGAGGGGGAGTGTGGAGCACAACTTCTTACCTACTTGCACTGCACAGTCTTTGGCTAGCTGCACTGAAGAGTTAAAAAATGGAGATAAGCTGCTGAAATAAAGATAAGCCTTTTGACCTATTCACCTCATAACACCTACATGAATATTACACTTGCCAGATGTACTAAACCACACAGAAACTGAGAATTTCCCCAGTGGCTAAACTATCACTTCTACCTCAGCCAAACTAATTTTGTCACAAGGACGTATTAAAAAAAAAAAAAAAGCCCATGAAATAGATAAGGGATAAACCAGCACTCTCCTGATTGAGGAACTTAGAGGACTTTGAAAGGCAATGGTACTACACTAAAGCTTCCTGACGTCCCAGCTCTGTAAAGCTGACATTTTATTTGTGTCTCAGGGAATCCTCCCAAAGAACAATTATAGAAGTCTAAGAGTAAAATAGGGATCTAATCTGATGCAGAACTGGTGGCCCTTATCACTCACATGCCTCATGAGGACCTCAAGGCATTCAAGATTTCATGGGATTTTGCTGGGATGAGGCTGGAGAGCTATTACTGGATGGGGGTTAAAGAAGTGGGAGTAAGGGGGATGGAGAAGAAGGACCAGAGACCTGGGGTAGGGACAGGGACTGGTTAGGAAAAGTGGTGGCACATTTTTCCCCCACTTTGTTCAGTGTACAGTGGTTGTTCTCCTAGTCAGCTTGTATCAACTACTGATCCTTTTTGTGGCCACTGCGTATGAAAAACGGACCTGGATTTAAACACAGTTTCTTCATTCTACAAATTCATACTCTCCAGGGGAAAAAAAAGAAGACATGAGATAATGGTTTGCTTAAACCCAAAAAACTTTTCTGTTGGTGACCAGCACAGTTAGTGATGGGAGAGGGGATCATTTGTCTGGCAGGCAGGTGCTTGCTTACCACTGAGAAGCAGCTGATTGCGCCGGTACGAAGCTGGCAGCTGACCAATGTCTTCTATCCTATGGCTCATTACCCGGGAAAGGTGACCAGTGTGATAGAGGCTTCCCACAATGATGCTGTGCAAGTACATGGGTTCGATGAAGGAGCTGAGGAGAGCACCTTGGAGCCCAAGGATGTTCCATCTGAAAGAGAAATTAAGCAGCAATAAAGCACATGGATGGAGGAATAGCCACAGTAGAGCTACCCTGGAAAATCAGCATAGGGCAGCACATGGCTTAGAGGGATGAGGGATGAAACCTTTCCTGACCCTGTCCTATGCTACACAAATCACTGCTGGGTTATTATACACCCATGGACTGATTCCCCCTCTGTGATGATTTTCGATTGCTGTGGTGCCATTGTCTTAAGGGATGTATTTCTGTCTCGTGTCACTACAAGCAGAGACTTCTTATTGGGAGCTATTCTTTCTCAAAGCGTTTTGTGTTCGATGGATGTTCGTTTAGTGTGTCTTTAGCAGAGTTTTAATGTTTTTTCCTGCGTCTATAGTTTTTCACTTGCAGTGGTAGAGCTAGAATGAGAGCTTTTACTACTCTACCTGTTCGTCATATATTACCATCCCCATGTCATACAGTCAAGCTAACACAAGACTTAAGTGGCCAAAATTCACACAAAATTTTTGAATGCCTCACAGGCTGACATTTCTTTGCAGAAATGACCATGAATATATGAAGACATTAATAAGAATTAAATCCTGGCCCTGAATAGAGAAAAAGAAGGACTTACAATTTTAGGAAATTAATTTTTAACCAATAGTTTGACCTGATTTAAAATGTTTGGAGTGATGAATACGTCTCACCCTGTTGCTGTCTTAAAGGTGCAGCGGAGCAGTGGTGGAAACCTTGGGGCCTTCTGCCTGTTAATGACTGTGAGCTCCATGCTACTGGTGTTGGATTAGTTGCCAGAATGGTTCTGCATTTTAGTAGCCTATGATTTTTTACATCGAGCTAGACACAAATATGACAGCATGCTTGCTCTAAATTCTTCAGAGGACAGCTAATTGTTAAAAAGTGGAAAAATTAAAAAGGGGAAAGAAGTCATTTTGCAGTTATCTTCTTGGCAAACCTATTCAGCTCAGCCCATCTAAGAAGTTTTTCCCCGCCACACAAATGCTAACATGTTCTCTTACACTTGATAATATTTTTATGTAAGTCAAAACCAGTCAATCTGTTTGAATAGTTTTGAGTTCAGGAGTTCAAACTGAAAATGCTTCAGAAAATGTAGTTCTGGAGGGTGTATTTTGGCTCATTAAAAACCAAAACACCGGCAACATTTGGAACTCCGTAGCTGACTGAAGGAAAGGGTATGAGTTGCCTGCTATTTAAGGCATCATCCAGTGGCTGCCATGCTAAATAATGTGTTTAAAGCAGAATCTCCATCAGCAGCAAGCATTATGGTGCTAATTTCTTACATCATTGTTCTTTTCATTAATTAACATTTCTCAACCGTTAGTGCAATTATTGCAGTGCCTCTGTGCTGTATGTCTCTTTTCATGATTAATAAGGAGTCATTATATTTCCCTTTCCTGAAGCAGTCAATTAACACGGAATACTTTCCATTAATTACTGAATGTTTAAAACCAGCATGCTGTACCTGGAGAGCAATCTGCTCTAGGAACCTGTGACACCAATTGCTTTAAAAAGTTCTCTTTAAATTTTATTCCAAAAACACAAGCAATTTAGCTGGCTGTATTAATTTGCCTCCGAAGCAGGGCTGTGAATGAGAAACATCTTTTAATCTCATGCAAGAAAAGGCAGCCATCTGGCTGCTGAGGATTTCAGAGTCAGACTCTCACTGTCTCCCTCTGTAAATGCAGGCCATTAAAGTAATGTGTTCATCTACATAAAACTCAAATGAAATATAAAAGGTAATATTTATATACAAACAATTTAGTCCCACAATTTAAACAGTCATTGGTTTTATGAAACATTTACTTTAGTCGATCAAATTTGCATAACTTCATTTTGGGGAAAAAAAGTGTGGTCATTTCTGCAATAACATCACTTTTAAAAGAAAGAACTAGTTACCTCTTTGAATAAATATCTTATCATGATGCAAAATTAATAATGCAAGCTTAAGAAACAGAGTTAAATTCAGCTAACAGTACTATGCCTCCAACCAGTGTCTAAGGAGAGTAAAAAAATTAGACATATATCTTTGTCCAGATGGAAACTTGTAAGATATCAGTGTTGTTTTCAACATTTGACATTTTCTTAAAAAAAGCCTTGCATATTGGATTGAAGGAGAGAAAAGAAGCAGCTAAACAGAAAAACAACATATGTTCAACAATATTGGGATTTTAGCAATATGCAAATTACAAGAAATCATCTGAGCTTTATTTACCAAAATATGGGACTGTGTTCAGATTATAAATTAGAAGGTTATAATGATTATTTAATTTAAATTCTTCACAAGGAACCTGCTTTTTCTTTAGACATATTTCTTTGCCTAATTCTGGGCATATTCATCCTAGTGTAAAAAGCCATTCAAATGTCAATGGAATTACATTGTTGGAAATCATAATATAAGCATGATCAGGTCACCCACTATGTATTGAAAGCATTCCATAAACATGAATTAATCCTTGCGGTGCTGCTGTAAGGTAAAGCCTCATTTTTAAGCCCTGAGGAATCAGGGCAGAAAGGCAGCATGATTTGCTGAAGTCTGCAAGAGTTCATGGCTTCTGGACAAAATAGTTGTTCCTTGAGACAATTCTGTTTTCCCATTCCAAAAGAAGGCACAGGCAGGTGCAGGGGGTGATGAAGCTTCTGTATCACACACAGTGGGTTTTGACTCCAGGGTATAAGTTTGACTCCAAGATAAACTGGACAGAGGAGCCAGACTAAAAAAATGAGGAAGAAGAAATTTAACAAAGACTTCAGAGCACAAAAGCAAGTCGTACCTGATGGGTAGAATGTGGTGCACAAAGAGACTGTCCCAATACCAGATACCATGCCAAGGTTGGAAGGACAGAGAAGTCAGGCAATGTGCTGACAGTGAGAAGGCAATATTTGATAGGGTCTGCTTGCTGGGTCTTCTTGAGCTATGTCCAGCATCAGCATGGTGGTGGTGTGAAAGGGGATGAGGGTGATGGCCACCTGTACAGTGGCCACTTCCCAGTTCAACACGGCACTGGTTTAGCAGCATTCAGTCAAAGGGATGAAGAAGCAGAGAAAGAGCTTTGCTTCCAAATCTGGCCCAGGTTTGTCAAAGTGTTTAGAGAGTTGCTTCTCTCTGGAAAGCAGCTCTGAGCATGTGCGAGTCTCACTAAGTCAGCACAAGTTCTAGGAAAGGTGAGATCCTGTGCTGAGCTGGCCAAAACCAGACCCTGGCACTGCTGCTCTTGTCCGTCAGAGTACAGTAAAAGCACATTAATGATGCGGGAAATTTTCAGTTTCTCATTCTGCTGCTGTTCTGTGGATAAAAGGGCCTACCTTGGAGGGCAGCCAGTCCAGTATTGTGCATAAACAATAGATTTTACTGACAAATATTTGGGGGAATGTCTTTTATAATCCTCTGTATTGTTCATCCCTTGACCAACACACGTGGCTGATGTCCTTTGATATATGAACAGCTATGGGATTTTTTATAGGTAGATGATAGAGAAAGGTCCATCTGAGCAACAATGAAACTATCAATAAGGGTATAAATTTTGAAGGAGCTATTTCTCTGTAGTCTAATTTAGGTCCATGAAAGTAGCTGTGTTCCCATCTGTGACAAAGTACTCTTTTCAAATGTGGCTTTTCAAAATAAAATTATTATTCAAAGCAATGCAGTGTTACATTTTGGGTCCTCAATATATCAAAGTGACTTTTCTCGCTATGAGGAAATACGCTGGATCATTCTGAATTTTCCTAATTGTTCAAGATTTTAAGGGCTGTTTTCAAGGACACACATCTCTCTAATAACTTATATGCTATGTGTTTTGTAATAATCTTTCCAATAAAGTGAAAATCAACCCACTGCTCCCTTAGTCACAGATCTTATTAAAAAAACCCCAAATCTTCAGCAAGCTGGATCAATAAAACAGAATGTCTTCCCTTTTCACTCAAATAGGAGAGCTTTTTGTGCTTTAAATGGAAGGAAAGTATAGCCTTCCTTTTGTTCAAACAGTAGATATTACTGCACTGTTTACAAAGACAAAATCCCGCGTCCAGTTTTCAATATAGATAATCCTTGAATAAATATATTTTTGTCTGTTTGTCAATCACAGAAATGCCAGCGACAAGCTGGGAGGTGTCCCAGAGCAAGCAGTCTTTCTTTAATTAAATGCCGTGCTCCCCAAATCCTGGGTGCAGAGCGGGTGGGGGTGAGACCCCATAGAAGCCCCTCCCAGCTCCTATGTTCCTGACAGCTCAGGACCACCAGTGAGGTGTGCAGGGAAATGTGCCCCCACGCCAGAACCACAGCAAAGCCTCTACATGCTGAATCTGTCTACACCCCCTCCCTGGGATCAACAGAAATATGGATGATAAAATTAATGAGGAAGGGTTTTGGAGGCAAACCGGTGGGGGTGCAGAGGGCTGCAGCCTTCCTCAGGTCAGCATGTGGTTCCTTGCCCATTGCTGAGACATGGTGTGACACCTGGAGTCCCTTTGGTGGTGTTTCTAGCATTGGTTTGCACATAGAGTTACTCAGAGCTGAAGGCTGACATGCTCCTGCCCTCAAACCCCTTCGAAACTGAGATGTGGAGAAATTCACACAAGGCTTCAAAACATCTCAGGGAACTGTGTCCAGCTGAAGTGTTTCCTTGGGACCTTTGGAAACCTTGCCCATTAAAAAGCACTACTGATGAATTTCAAAGCTTATTTTGTTAAGGCTTTTTATAAAATACTTTTTTTTTTTTTGGTCATTATTAAGAGCTTTAAGTCTTATCCACTTGGTGTGTTGTTAACCTCCTGTACCACAATTTCTATTACCAATATTTCCAGCTATGCTTCACACAACATAAATTGTTATTCAGGGTGGCCTGTGCTCAGCAGAACACCTGTGGTGTTCCTATTTATATGACCATTTAGCTATTATTGGTTTGGAAACTGGAACTAGTGCATTAGTTTTTGATCTGTATTTTAACAGTGGGTGGTTTATATATGTTTTCTGAAACATACCTTGTGGTGAAAGATTG